GCTATTGTAAGAGGTACATTTGGCCCCGAAGACTGTTATAGTGATGTTGCAGAGTTAAAATTCGAATGTCCAGTTGCCATTAAGGTATTAATATATTTTAAATATTCATATTCATAAATTTTAACAACAGGAAAATAATTATTAATGTACAGTAATAATTGTTGATTGATTTTAAAAAAAATAATAATAAATAAGTTAGATATTTTAAGAATAACAATTTATTAAAGGAAGTGAAGTTAATTAATGTATCTCAAATACTTACTCATTATATTGTAGTTTAATAATACAGTAGACCCCCCCTATAACATGGTAGATATGTTCCGTTTTATATGAATTCCGTGTTTTATGAGTCACTTAAATACATGAGCCAATCACAGCCCAGCACATGTGCAGTTTATGGACTATGGCTGTTTAAAAGATTTTCTTCCATAAAACTAATCGATTCTAGACTAATTTGACTCAACATTTCAAAAACACATAATTTTTTGAGAATAATCCATATAAACTATGCTATAAACAAAATATTGTAGGAATACTTACCGAGTGTGCATTGTTTGACGACACTATTGCTTAAGCTTGTTTTCGTCGTGGAGCAGCGCATCAAACGGCAGGTGCGTGTTTCCTGATAAGTCATTTTTCTGTGAAAATTTCACTGAACTTTGGAGACATCATTAATATAAATATAATTTTTATGGCCATTAAATAATAAATGGTTTTTATTAGGTTCGCTGCTCGTTTAAACTCAATGGTTTGTGCAATATCTGCTATTGGTCTAGATTTGACCAATCCCGTTGCAACACAAGTCGGTGATGGTGTTTTACTGTATTATATGAGTCTCTTTTAGCGTGTTTAAATGAATACGATCGTAATTTTTTTGCCGTGTTATATAAATCCGTATTATATGAACCCGTGTTATAGGGGGTCTACTGTAATCAAATATGTAATCATTTAAGACTTTTTCTCATTGCAGCCAGTAACATTATGGATAATTTTACATAGACCAGTAATGCGACTCTGAATTGTGTTTGTTTATTACACTTATATATTCTTATCTAGAGTTTCTGTACATAACAAAGTATGTATGGTAATTCTAGATTATTATTTAAATATCACTCATAATCAACTGTGCTAGCATCAGTAAGATCAAATATTTTTCTGTGGACTGGTGAAATTTTCTCACAGACGGCACCAGTTTATAGAATGATGCCAGTCTATGGACCAGTGCCATATTATTTCTTAAGAATTATTTCTCAAATCAGTGTTTTTCACTGATTTAAGAAATAATTTTTAAATGTACTTACATTTCATAATATTTAAGAAACTAACAGGATCATAAAATATCTGTATATTCATTATTTTGAGTTATTGCATTTATGGAAACAAATTACATCATAATTCATGATTGAATATGAGGATTGTGCAGGAAATAATGCAATAAGTTTTTTCTTATTTACTATTTCTCAGAATTTCAAGCATGCCACATTGTTATTGGTGCCATTGGTTGCCACAAACTATATTCAATGTAGTCTCTATTCAAGTTATGACCTTATGTCTCAAATGTGAGAGACTGTATTGCTTTCTGAAACCATTTCGTGTGTCATAATTACCTCTTAGAAGATTGTCCTCAGGCTTCTTGCTATAAATTGCCATTTTTATCATCTTGATAAAGAACTAAAAAGTCAGAATAGGCATTATATCAGCTGTAAGAGAGATGAGCAGAGTGGTATATTGACTTGGGAATGCATTGAATTTAGATTTGCATTATTACAATAAAGGAAAATTTTTGTCACATCTTCATAGGGACGCACCTGCTTAATATGTTTTATCAGCTTTTATTGATCTCTGTTTAGAGTCCACTTTTAAAATTCACTACATCATTGTTATCTAAAAGAAAATATCTTTCAAAATTAATGCTATTATTTTAAATTATTGTAATTATGTTAATTATTATCTGAGAGATACAGTAGACTCCCTATAACACTGTATATAATTCTGTTTATATGAATTCCATGTTGTACGAGTCATTTAGATTTTATAAATACATGTGCCGGGCTGTGAACAGCTCATGTATTTGTAAAATCTAAGCGACTTGTACAACATGGAATTCATATAACACGGAATTATCTACAGTGTTATAGGGGGGTCTACTGTATGTGACATACATCAGTCAATAGAGTAATGGTCCATATTTCATTTCCTATCTGCATTTAAGTGTCTTATTGTCTTAAATTATATAAAGCTTGTTGTCCACTAACTAGGAAGTGCTGTAAACAAAAGTGGATATTGAGCTATAAAGATAGTGTTTTGTGTTCTGCAGTTTGCAAAGTCGGAATCACTTTTCATTGTGCAAAATGAGTAATCTGCAGGAAGTATAGAATTGCAGCTGCTGCAGGAGGAGTGACAACAGACTGTAGTGTGCATAGGAAAAATTTGAGTGTCTGCCATGTGACATTAAGTGCATGTTGAGAAATTGTAATGAGCAAATGTAAAACTTGAAAATTTCCAATGTTTTAATATAGATTACAACATTGTCAGATAACAATTAACATAATTATAATAATTAAATTCACAGCATTTTTTTTGGAAGACTGTGTTACAATTACATGCATAAATATAACATATTTTTTCCCTAATAAATTTGGTTAAGAAACGAAATGTGTCATCTTACTTTCTGGACATCCTTTATATTACCAATCTTATATGAGTAAAATATACATTAATTAATCTGTTTAAAAATTAGAAATGAAATTATTCTGAGTTATATTTAAAATGTTTTAACTGTGAATTTTTGTTGTTAAGCATTGAAAAGACAAAATATTACTGAAATGTTTGATGCTCTATTATAAATAATGCTTTTAATATGTTGGTTTATAGGAAAATGTAAAGTATGCGATTCGTCTTCGAAATCACGGCGCTCGCACGAATAATGGAGATGGTGGTTTAACACAAGTTAAAGGACCTGATAATACCGTATTCACGTTTAGTGACTGTTCTTTAAGTTTTAATGGCACAAATCATACAAGAGGTCAAATACCACAGATATTGTATTACAGGTATATTTTTTGATTATTTTTTTTTATTGAATATACATTATTTATTTTATAACATATTTTATGTATGGTAGATCTTCTGTGTATTAATTATGGACAACTTTTGTACTATGTTTTTGGGTAAAATAATAATTCTGGAGATAATCATTATAAGGTCTGGGTGCTGTAAGTACAGACTTGCCACATTTGGTTTTAAGTTTATGCTATTATCAATCCAAAAATAATAATAAATAAATAAGATAAAAATTCTTAATTGTGTGCGAAATTAGTGGCAAGTCTTGCAGCATTTTGCTTAGTCATGCTAATTCACATTCTGAAAGGGTGTCATGTGATTTATTACTTTGTTTGGTACTCCAGAGTTGTCACTTGTAACACATTGTGTCCATATGATATCAGTGCTTCTCATGCTATATTTGCAAAGTAATTATGCTAATTACTTTGCAAATACAATTTGCAAAGTACAAATTTTCAAAATGCGAGAGTAGTGATGCTGGTAGCTCTGAAAAGCCAAATTCAACCAAATTTGGTATGGTGACATTTCAAAAGCTGCAGAAGACATTTCTATAAAAAGTAATCAGTAGCAAAACTTGCTGCTATGGCACTTTTGGCACTTCAAGTAACAAATATTTTATTTGTACAAGACAGTCATGCTATATAGAGATCTTAGCAATGCAGAGAATACTGCTCAGTGTAGTCCTATGAATAGTATGTTCAATAGTTGACCAAAACTGATTCTCTGCAATGCTTCTCACATGCAGTATGATACTGTCAGATTTGCAGCATGTCCTCAATAAAGCATAATTATTAAGTGTCCTCGTAATCAATGATACCGATTAAAATCCAGTGTCAGAAGTGCCAGTTTTTTTAATAGAAATGTCTNATATTTTTTATAAAAACTAGTCAAGTATATCTCCTTAAGTAAATCTCTTAGGAACAACAAATATCTGTATGCATAAATCTTGAAAAATAGTTAAATTAGAATGTTTACTTTTTCAAAAACTGGTTATATGAAATGAAAACACACACAAATTATACCCAAAACCAGTAAAAGTAATAAAAAATATTTTCCGACAGGAATGTTTTTGTCTGTTTCTAAGAAACATTATTAAATACATTATAACAAATAACAAACAGAACCTGTTTAGTATTTGTTATGATATACCTGATGATATTTCTTTGAAATGGATGAAAACATTCATATCAGTAAATATTTTTTTATTCCTTTTACTGGTTTTGTGAATATTTGTGTGTTTGCATTGATTAAATTAGAACGCCATCCAAACACACACAGAATAAAATAAATACTATTTAATTGAAATAACTGACTTTCCTTTCCATTATACCAGTAAGAATTATTATTGTCTGACTGAAATAAGTTAAAGTTTGGATCTCAAGAATATCAGTGTAACAAATCCTAAGTTTGAAATAAAAATTTTTAATGGACATTACTAAGAAATTGGTCTCAACTAATAATCATCATTAATTTTAATTTTGGAACATACATCATCAAACATAATAAAGCAATTAAATAATCTAAAAACACTCCAATGTGTTTTACAACATTGAGGCATTTCATTTTCAAAAAATAAGAAGTTCCATTTAGACCTGAAGTGGACTAGCGAATGTAGTCAAAAACATTTGTAAATCATATACTTTACAGCTGGAAGGTTGACTTGGTTGAACATTTTTGAGGTATTAATACAGTTAATTGTATTAATACTTCAAAACAGTTAGTGTTTATTTTATTATGATGTTATTTTGAGTTAATTTTCACTATTCATTATATCAACAAGACATTTTTAGTATGATTACAAAATAAATTATGAAGTAGAGGAAAGATATGCCATTTATTAATATAATTATGTATAAAATGAACATTTTATTTAAATTACTTTAAACTGACAAGTGTAAATGGAACTGATAATTAATTTTTAAAAATCTTATTTTCAGGAACCTCAGAATTATTCATTCAAATTGATTACAAATACTTGTGCTCTTCTTGCTGTTATAGTAGCTGAATTATGTTATCAGACAGCTGGAACGATTGTAAGTATACTTGTATACTTGTAAACGAAGTTATTATTATAACTAGTTATGTATATATTGTTTTTATTATTCTGTAAACATCCTATTTCTGTTTTATTATAATTATTGTTGAATTTTTAGTAGTTCTTAATGCATGTATCATTGTTAAGAGGGGGGGGTGGAAATCAACTGTCAGCAGACATTTCCTTTAATTGTATAATAAATAAATAACTAACTCTGAGTTGAACATTGATAAATTAGTTCAAAATTTGTTGAAATATGAATTACATTAATTATTTTACTATTGAACTATATAAATTTGAATAAAATTACAAAAAATTATTTATTAATGATTGCTTAAGCATTTGATCAGTTGACTGTGTTATAAGGTATTAATCTACTAGCCTGAGGAAATCCAAACAACAATACTAATTCAAATCCTAATCAAAATTTTCTTTTGCAGTTAAATAATATTTTTGAGTGATCTTTTTACATTTCTGAATATTTAACATCATATTGAGAGAAAAAATTTAATTTGTAACTTTAAATATTAAAAATTATCAACATAAATTCGAATGTGTTTTAATTAAATTGCTGGAAGTTTTCGTTTATGTTTAATTTCAAATGTAAAAATTTATTATTATTTTCGAAAAATCAAAACATATGTTTACATAAATATTATGTCTGTTTCTTTCTAGTTGGACGTCCATAGTTCTACAGGACAGGTATTACATTTAACACCTACTCGATTTACTCGGGTTAGTCAGAATCGTACCTGGAATACAGGAAATGGCTCTCCCGACGCAATATGTTTTAGTGTTGATAGACCTGGAATTCTGATTGCTGGTGTTTGTGTATTTGGTGGAGTTGGTAATGAATGGCATTATGAATTAGAGTTACTTGACGATGTGAGTATTTCTTCACTCAAAATTTTATAAATAGAAAAATCTTATTTTGATATTAAATTAAGGAAAATGATTTTCATACTTTGAAATAATAAACTTAGTTTTATTTATTTAAAATATATATGAAATAAGATACATATTTATCTCTCTGATAAAATTTTCATATTGCACTTATTTTAATTTTTAAATTGAAATTTCTTTAGTGATTTAGAGGATTTATTATTATTATTATTATTATTAATAAACAATAATAAGCCTGAATCGGTCATATAATTTTAATAAAATGTAGCATTTAATTTATTGTTGAAAGCTTTTTTATCTGTTTTATTTGGAATAATGATTATTCATACAAAAGTGTCATTGAAGTGGTAACGGATCAGCTTGCTTATTTGAGTGATTGGAATTTGAGTCCAAGTTGGAATTTCAGAAATATTTATTGGTGGTTTGACCTATGCCATAATGGGATAACCAGGTGATGAGTGACATATTTTCATTACTTAGCTATCTCATTGTGAATTTGGCTTAATGTAATGAAAAGAAATTTTCTAAATAACCACAGAATGGAAAGATTAAAAAAAACAAAGTATTCAAAAGAATAAAATTCTTTAGATGTAACACCAAATAGAAAACCTAAAATTAATATTTTCTGAAGTTCAAGGTGTTCCCTAGTTTTAAACTGTTTTATAAAATCCATTTGTTCAAATATATAAATAAAATGTGTAATTGTTTAAGGCAATTGTTTGGTTGACTATCTATGTATTGGCTTTGAGATGTTTAGTGTACTTATTGGGTTTAGATCAGGGATGTCCAACCTTTTTGTTTCTCGGCCACATTGGAAGATGTCATGGAGTTTTGGGCCACAAGTATATTATACTAGCTTTTGCCCGCGGCTTCGCTCGCGTTAAGAAGTATTATTATTAATTAGGTATAGTTTTTGCGCCTTTACTTTTGTTTAGCGTGTGTAAAAAATTAGGGCCTACAAAACTTCTTTGTACACAATATTCTTAACTAATCTGTCATTAGGCGCTAAAACTATCAAGCTATTGGGTGAACTTACTCGTGAGCAAGCAACATAAAACTGTCCATGAGAGAAGCAATGTTCTCTCAAGTCAATACCCGTTGAGTGAAAACACAACGATAGCATGTTTTAAAATACTACTAACGCCATCTATTGTCAACATTTAGAACTAAAAAATATTTTGTTCGTCTTAATTTATTCGTTCCATTAGGTACTGATAGGTTCAGACTAATACATTTACATCCTCCATCATCCCTTATTTTATCCCCATGGGGGTTGAATTTATCAAAATCCTATTTAAGCGGACGTCTTCATCATAGTAGCTCCAATCTTTAATTTCAGTTCAATCAGTCAAAAATGTAAGAAAATTTATACAAACTTTCATCCCCTATTTTATCCCCTTAGGGGTGGAATTTATCAAAATCCTTTCTTAGGGGATGCCTACGTCATAGTAGCTTTATGCATGCAAAGTCTCAGCCCGATCGGTTTAAAATTGATAAAGTTTCATACAAACTTTCATTCCCTATTTTATCCCCTTGGTGGTAGAATTGATCAAAATCCTTCCTTAGCGGATGCCTACGTCATAACATCTACCTGCATGCCAAATTTCAGCCCGATCCGTCCAGTGGTTTGGGCTGTGCGTTGATAGATCACTATGTCAGTCACCTTTGAGTTATATATATTTAGATATAGTTGTGGCCCAATCCTTAAATATACAAGTATATTTAAGGATTGGGCCACAACTATATATTTAAGGATGTTAATCCTTAAATATACAAGTATATTTAAGGATTAACATGTCTAGATTATAGTGCTCACTGAAATTTTGGCAAAATGCTAAATAATGTAAATTTTTGTAGGACGTCATGGAGAATTTCATAATTTGGACTGTCAGTTTCCAAGCAGAATTGGAAGAAATACATTTGATGGTTTAGTAATCATGAGAGAGAATATTAATAAGTATTAACTAGTGTTGCAACGAATAGTATATTCGGCCTCAGGCCGAATAACGAATATTCGGCCAGGAGCGTGGCCGAATAGCTGAATATTTGGCCAAACTATTCGGCTTGATTAACGCACATACGAAAATTGGCGCGCAAGCCACAATATGGCAAAGACCCTGCTCTCTATTGGCCCACTGTCACTACGCTTCACCAATTGCGTTAATTCTTGACAGTTCAGACACGAGTGTCATGGCAGTATGTGATAAATAATGATATCAAATGTGGATAACAATGAAATGACCTACACGTGTAAATAACAAAAGAAGAACAGAGAAGAACCACAAAGTGAAAATGTGAAAATAAATATGAAATTGAGTTGATAACATAATCGAACAAGTTGAGGCAGCTTATTGGCACGAAATTCGTGGCCGTCAATGCTAAACAATTGTTGTCATAGACTTCGAAAAGCTAAATGCTTGTAATGAAAGTCACTTAGCGTGCACAAGCGAAAGCCTGGGGTCGTTCGTGCTACCAAGCTGTTTCGAATCTGTGAGATCATAACTGTGACTTATACTGACGTCCTATCTCTCTCTTTTCTCCGTTATCACCAGGCTATGAGTCACGTAATTGTAAAATGGGAAATCTACGACGGAAAAGTGACGAATCGAAAGTATCGTGAGTGCGTAGTATGATGTATGCATAGACATACATGAACTAGAGCGATAGAGGAAAGAGAAAGGGAAGAGCAAAGACGAGCGCTTAAAAAGAAGGATAGGCGGGTCAGACTCTCAGATGTGTGACGATTCTCGAATGAATAGGTGTGTACGTGTTCTGATCCTTGTAATTATAAATTGTGAATACATGTGACTAATATTATGTTCTTTTTTATTTTGTGTATGTTATAAGTTATAAACAAATATAAACAAACAACATTAACCCTGATAACATTAAATCTAAATACCAGAATAATTAATTTACTGTGTTTTTGTTATTTCTTACTCCTGTTTTTAGGTATTCGGTATTCGGCTGAATAGTGATTAAATATCCGAATAGCGAAAAATAGGCCAAATACCGAATAGTAACCGAATATTCGTTACATCACTAGTATTAACTCTTTATCATGAAAAAGGATATTTTAAAAAATTACTTTTACAGACACTTTCAATTTTTACTTAGAGATAGATAAATTCATTTATTATAAAAGAGACAAACAAAAATTTATTTGAAAAACACAAATATTTGTTTTATTTGGGTCTAATTAATAAAAAATATGATAAAATACCATTTTAAAGTGCATTTTTATTTGACTAATATATTTATAAATAATATCAAAAAACACTTACTACAACACCTTTTCTTGCAGTCGACGTTTATTAGAACCGCTTATATATATGCAGTCTAGAACGATGTGATTATAAATAATATGTAGCCCAAAAAGTAGTCAATGCGCCAAATGATATTTTTTACGTCAAACTAAAAAAGGGGTAGTCAACTTTGGCGCAAAGTAGCCAATCATGCAACGCTGGAAGGAATACTAAATAAAGCTGGAGTTGGGACTGAAAAAGATTATAGACCCAAATGCAGGAAAAGGAGAGAAAGGACAAAAGATAAAGAAGTGAGGAAGGTTGGAAAATTAAGGGTCCATATTTGCTTAATAGAAAGTCTATTTAACCTTTCTCACTACTTTTTATCTTTTGGCCTTTCTCCACTTTCCCCAAATTTGAGTCTATAATTCTTTGAGTCACAACTCCAACTTTATTTAGTATTTCTTTCTTTCACACTTTTCAAGTATTTGAAAATATTTCCTTTCCACTCAAAAATAAAATATGTATACAGGTTTATGACTTTGTGAAACTTCTTTTATTGAGTTTATGCCGTTGAAATAAATAAATAAAACAAAATAAAAAAAATTTGTTGGTTTTGTTTACATGTTTATTGGGCCGCATTGGAACTTGCCTTGGGCTGCATGCGGGCTGCGGGTTGGACACCCCTGGTCTAAAGCATTCTGCACAGTTGACTCTCTATGCAGAAACTAATTTGCCCTTATGTTCAAATTTTGTAATTTTGATTGAGCTAGAATGAGTTAACATTAAAATTTTAAATTTTATACTAACATTATAGAGTATGTTCTTTTGTTTTCACCTGACAAGGGCATTTTTTTGTAAATGTCGAAAGTGCTTGCATGAGTGTTTCTTTTCATTATTAAAGACAGTGTTTTCAGTACTATTTACTTGATGATCAGATGACCTTGTAGGCCAGGATTTCATCAAATTTTGAGATAATTTTACCTAGAAAAAACATTATTAAACAGTGCTCAGTGAGGCTTTTGAAGTGTATGCTGTTGCTCCATGCTGCTGAAACCATGTATTCACATTATATGCAGGATGCTGATGAAGCTTTAGTATGAAAAACTTTTTTATTTCAGAATATGTACAGTTGACAGAAAGTGGGTGACCTCGACTGTCCTCAAAGAAATACGGACCAATAATTCCTGTCCTAGACATTAGAAACCAAATTGTCATTTCAGAAT